CATGGATGTGCTCTGCTGGCCTTCTGCCTATCTGTCCTACATAGTGGTTGTTACAGGCCTTTCACTGTATGTTGTATATGGCTCTTGGTTTTTCTTCTTGGGTTACTGAGTCTTTTGGTTTGCTTAAGATGTTTTGGAGGGCTTTAGTTAGTTTGTGTACTATAGAGATGCCATGTGGTTGTAGTAGTCTGTTGGTAGTTTCTGAGACATTTCTGATGTATGGCAGTGTTATCCTTTTCATAGCTTGTGTAGGTTGTGTTGTAGTAGGTTGAGTGGTCAGTCAGTTTTTGATAAAGTTGCATGGATATCCATTTTGTTGGAGATGTACAGGTGGTCTGTTTCCTTTTTCTGCTGTTCTGGGTTGTTGCAGTGTGTTTGTGCTTGTTTGAATAATGTTCTTACACAGCTCCTCTTGTGGGAGGTTGGGACTGATATGATGCTAACCCATGGTTTAACTGTGGTTTATGAATAAACCACAGTTGGCAGGGTTCACACAATTGCTTAGACATCCATTGTGATACCTCAATGTGCAGGTTCACACATTGCACTCCCAGATATTAAGATCTTAGAATGAAGTACATACCCAGTGAATGATTCAGAGCACAGACTAAAAATAAACCATAAGGCAAAATTCTAAGTGCATTTATCACAACATATTTGAATTCTTCTGACATTCATGTTCAATTTATTTATCTTACTCATTTATTATCAAATAAATACCTTTATTTGCCTTACCTTTCTAAGAAACTCTGTCTTTTCCTGGGTTTGCACCAACCCAGAAAAAAATATGTTTGAATTAAGGAGGCATCAACAAGGTGTGAGAAGACTATCTGTAGTCTATGCCCATCTGCTAAATGCCTTCTAAAGAAGGAGAAATGTAGTGTATGGTCCGCCGCAAGAAATGAATGAATGTTTGTCAAAAGATGTAAAAAGGGTGTGTTTAAGAGTGTGCTTCTGCCTACTTTGCTTTTTGGAACTGAGGGTTGGATCTGTTGGGAGAAACATAAAAGTAAAATGAAATTATGGGAACTTATTTATTCAATTTATATAGCCACCCATCTCAAATACATGAATGAACATGGATTGAATATAAAAGCAAGAGAATAGTATAAAAGAAGGATGGTGAGATGGTTTGGTCATATAGAGAGAATAAAAGAGGATCAAATTGCAAAACAAATATATAAAGGAAGAGTGACCGGATGAACGGGATGTGGTAGACTGGGGAAGTCATGGGGGGATAGAGTTGATGATATCCATAGGAAAAAAGAAGTGAGAAGTTTAAAAAACAAAAGGCAATGAATAAAGTGCTATACGAATATAATAGAAGCAAAAATAGTGTGCAAGAATAAAAAATATTAATAGGTATAGTAAGAGGTTTTAACTATGTTTCCTTTCCTTTTTCTTATCTCATGCCTTTAATTTCTTTGGCTTACTATTTCTTATTTTTTTCTACATTCTGTATACCATTGCTTACCTGAAAGGCAGTAATTTTAAGAGTATAAATGTATGTATTTAGGAAGAAATTTAACTATGTTGAAAGAGAAAGATAATACCTCATGAATTCAGAGTATATTTGTTTGATAAAAAGACAGTAATTTCTCAAATAACCTTCAATAAGGAAGTTGGCCTTAATTTTACAGACATGCTGTGTGTTGTGGTTCATAAGCAAAATCAAGAGACAAACATTAAACATGATATATAATAATATATATTATGTATTGAATATTAAATTGAGTGCAAGATCTAGCTTTTTCTTTAAACAAGA